CACTGGGACATCATGTTTAGAAAATAAACGTCTCAGTTTCTCCGAAATACCCGCAACATACAGAATAACCACTGGACCACTGAATTTTGCCTGAAACTCTCAGACTGAAGAAGTCTCTTGGAGGAGAGACGAAACGTTTCATTAGAGAAGAACCCGTCCAGAAGACCTATACAATTTTTTTCTTTTTCAAAGGCTAAACTAATTCACAGCTGACGTGTGTGTTAATGTGACTGCAGCCGTGCTGGAAGAGAGATGCACAGATTATTATTATGTATAATGTAGTCAGATTGCTGCTGCAGAATATTGCAGAAAAGCACCATGGGGGCAATTTAGACATCCCACAGACATCTTCAGATGCAGTCTGATTAATAGAGAGAAGAGTTTGTCTGAAAGAGGTCTATCAAAAGCACAACCTTGTTTCTGTATAATATAGAAACCTCTAAAAGTGCGCACTTCAAACACAATGCAATATGTTTAAAGKAAATGAAAATGCAGATGGACTTGTTTAAAAGGTTTTAGCATAATGTAGCAATCATGTTTGGATCAATAAGTGTCTAAATTCATCAGAGACGGTTGTTTCTGAGCAGACAGCTGAGAACCTGGGACGCTCGTTTGTGCATGCAGAGAGCTTCTGAGGAAACATGGATGCTTCTGAGCCAAATCAGATTGTGCACCTTCTGTGTTATTGTTTCTCTTCTGTCCCCCGTCTGCAGCAGCCCTCCGCTGAGAACTCAAGGAGAAATGAGCTAGTTTGAGCACTAAAAGAAAACCAGTGCACTACAGGCATTCATATCTGCATACGCAGACACACACACTCACACACACACCATGAACTCCAAAAGGACACAGCAGGCCTGCATGTTTGTGGGTGCGATTAAGAGTGAGGGATCGGCCCTCCTTCTCATCCCTCTGTCACAGAGAGGTGTCGCACTAAATGTCCTCCCTCCGACAGAACGCAATCACACATCAGTCAAACTGTCCAGCTCAAGTTCCTCCCCTACTGAGAGGACAAATACCACTCATTTCCAATACGCGCACACACACACACACACACACACACAAACACACACACCCACACACACACACACACACACACACAAACACACATCTTTTCCACCTGTACTTACCCTTCTGTTTTCTGTGTTATCAGCTCAGCAGCACACATGTTGTTCTCACCTGTTCAGTCTCAGTCACACTGCACCGCTGTGTTTGGCAATTTCAGAAACCCGTGATAACCATTAATCTTATCACGCTTTACGTACGTATGTACGCGTTCAAGAAAGTGTCTTCATCACTGAAAGTACTTCTCCTAGGCACTGGTTTCCTAACTCATTACAGCATACTTAAATACATTTTAGCACTGAAGGGAAAAGAGAGCTGACCCTTGTTTGAACGCTGAAGACAGAATCATTTATTTTCCATTTCACTGGCTTTTACCTCCCTCCTTTCTTTAAATGATCACAGCAAATTGTGAGCATGTGGTAAAAAAAAACATTCATTCTGTAAGCCAAGATTTGTCCCTCAGCAGTTTTTCATGGTCGGTCTAAAATGTCCATGTTTGTTTTCATACCTAAAATGATGCCATTGGGCAATGTAGGTGGTTGCCAGACCACCCGAACTGATGTCAGCCGAACCTCTGGAAACACCATCCGGACTGGGGGACCTGGTACTGGAAGAAAACCAGACAAAAACATTGACAGTTCAATTAAAGCACAACAATTC